GCGCAACGGCGGGTGGGTAAGCGTACGTTAGTATTAACGGCGCGTGCCATCAGCTGCAGATAACTTGAACTCTTATTAGGTCCCGTGACGTAGAGGATCGAAGGCAAAATCCTGCCAAAAAATTTGATATTTACTCGGTATTGTTAGGTATTATTTGATAATAACGAGGAATACCGCTCTGTGAAGATCAATACCGAGTTATACGGAGTAATACTGAGTCGGTACAACTTTTGTATAACTCGGTATTGCTCAGTATAGCTCAGTATAACTCGGTATTAGGTCTTCACGTGATGGTATTCCTAGTATTGCTTGGTATTTCTAGTTTTTTGAAGCGATTTGGCCTCCGACCGAACGTTCCACTAAGTCCGATCGGAGGACGTAATAATTGTTCAGAAGATAACACAGTCCAGAAACAAATATCTTCCGTCCGTTCCGTCTGCCGTTCCTATTTTTTTCCGTTTCCATTTGTTATTAACGAAAAAACAAAGACAAAAGGATCATTTTTTATAAATAAAAAAAAATATTTAATACAAATATAATTATTTCGTACATATAACATTAATTTCAAAATAATTCTACTAATTTTAAAATTCATTATTCTAAATATTCTGCTATTTTTTATTTATAAACTTATAATTTTCATCGAATGAGACCATTGGTAAGTGAAAGATCGAAAAAATCATCAAAATAGAAAATTAATATTTTTTTTTTCTTCTCTAATATGTGGTAGTTAAAGCATGATTCACATTTTCTTCTGATAAATAACCTTTTAGGTAAAAAAAATTGTCCTATAGATTCAACAACTCTAGTGCTCATTTGTTTGCTCGTATAGGGGTGATTTGGTTGCTAAAAAATAAATGTTGTACAAAATAAATTAAATTAGCATGTAAAATGATATGCAAGTGATTTTTTTTAAATACAATAAATAAAAATACTTAATATGATGATGATTATTGACCAATGATGGGGTGCTATATGTAGTAGCAACCAACCACATCTGAAAATGATTTTCAAATACCTTAAAATAACAAAAAATGATATAATCCAAATATACTAAAATCATTCAAAATACTATATATTTAAATTACTTCAAATCAAATAAATAATATGATTACATTTTTAAGCTTAATCCATTCTTAAGGAGATAAAAATAGAAATTTATAAAATTAAATATCCACGTCTATTTCTAACTAGTCAACTTAGATGGTTTGATCACATGAAATGGCAACCTTCCGATGACCCGGTTAGAAAAGCATAGGTATTAGATTTAACTTATATTAAGAAAGGTAGAGATAGACCTAAAAAGATTTGGTTAGAAAATATTAAAAATGGTTTTGCTTTATTAGATTTAAACTAGAACTTAATTTCTAAAATGACAAATGAAAAAAAAATTCATATAACTAACCGCACGCAGTGGGACAAAGGCTTATTGTTATTGTATTTCTAACTAGTCAACAATTCTATAAAATATATAAATTTAACCATTTTTTTTAATTGCATGCCCAAACTTTCGAAGTCATTTTCACGTCAAGGATTTATTATTTTAATTAATTAAACTTTTTTGTTTAAAAAAACTTATATTAATAATTACTAACCAATCTTACAATCTAAATTGTTACTCATAAAAAATTTCTTATTATATGATAATCAAAATCTTGTGTAATCAATCATGCACATGCCATATTCATCAATTTCACCATTATCAAACAAGTTTATTACAGCATAAAAATAAAAATTTTTCAAAAATATTTTAATTCAAATTTCTGATTAAGGTAGAAGCACAAATAAAATTACAGTATAAATAACAATAATACTCTTTACACCTTCCTACAATTTCAAGTATTATATGATTGAATGGGTGGATAAAAATAACATAACAAAACTGTTATGATCTTGCTGTGTATCTTCAATGGTTCAACAAATGGAGTAAATATTCAAGGCTCCTGTTGTTTTTGTTTTTCTTCAAGAAAAATGGGATTTCAACTTACAAGCTTTTTATTCCAGTCCCAGCCTGCAGATTGGGTTGTTCTTTATAACATTGAAATCCACCTGAGAAGATCATAAATAAAACAAAGTGGCTGTTCAATATCCACTGAAGCAGACAAAAAAATGATTAGAACTAACATAAATACCTTTGGTCCAAAGAGATCCCGAATGTTGTCAATGCCATACAAAATCATTGTGGGCCTGAATGAAAGAAAAAAAAAAAGTACAAAAATATTGAAATCTACACAGTAATTCGATAAATTTGGAGCAAAGAAGTTAAATATCAGGTGCCCAAGATTCAAAATGTGAGAAAAAATATAGAAAAAAACGCATATTATATGCCTGATGAACGCCAACAAGGAATTAATGGGGAAAAAATCAGAAGCGTGCAAAAATAATTTGAGCTTTTATGCTTTATGCGCTTAATGCCATCAAGCAAATAGGCTAATTTCAGGAAAAAATAATCTAGAAGAACGTTTATATTTTAGAAAGAAGTTGCTAACCCAGTGCTTGGCAGAAATACTGGAGCAGAGCATAGTAGTTTTCGAATCTACAATATCAAAGTAAACAAATTTCATCCAGAAAAGGATGCTCATATTTTTTTATTGTTTAGTATCATAGTTAATTAAGGCTTCGTTTGGGACGGATTTTTTCTTGCTTCTTAAAACAGAATTTTAGTATAAAAATTTTCAATTAAAAAGCAGTCCCAAACGAAACCTAATTTGCTACATCTCCCCACCACTTGCCGCAAACCAGCATCCCAAATGATGGTTTCCATTATCCAGACTAAATACATCTAAACCAAATTTCAATCAGGATATCTTCACCTAAATTTGTCTTTATGCACACCTAAAAAGCTATGCTAAGTGAAAAAAATAAAAAAATTATGCTAAGTGGCACACTGCCCGCTACACAACCTACAACAACAACAATATTAAATCCTTTGTCCCACTATGTGGGGTTAGCTACATGAATCTTTTTTCTCCATTGTGTCATGTTAAAAGTTAAATTCTCATTTAAATCTAATAAAGAAAGATCATTTCTAATATTTTCTAATCAAGTACTTTTAGGTCTACCTCACACAACCTACCAGAACCAAAAATCAACAATGTTCTTAATTGCGAGATAAAGGCTCCTAATTCGAAATCAACTTGAAGTAACTGACCTACCAAAAGGAAAATAACTGTTATTTTGTACCACTAATTCTTCGTTTTATCAGCATGGAGTGATTGACCAACCAAACTGAAATACTTGCCTCGCAAAAATACATGCCTACAAATTATCCATTAATCAGACAAATTTTGGCTACCTCTCAAGTGAAAGCCCCCATGCAATTACAGAAACATCTTCTGGAAGACCCATTGGCAGCAACATTTCGGGACGAAACATACCGGAGTTTCCGACTTCAACCCATTTCTTCAGACCTTCATGATAACTGGAGCACGGCAAAATAAGAGAGGAAAGATCATACATATGCAAATAATTAAGGATACATACCTGAAAATCTCCATGCTTGGTTCAGTGTATGGATTATAAGCAGGTTTGAAGCGTAGCTTGGCCATGCCTACCAAAACACCATAAATTTGATTTCAAAATTTTAGAGTTAAGTGATTAGCCTTAATGGAAAATGATTGTAAATTTCAGTTGATCTGGATATTTAGACAAAATGTCAAGTTCATAAAACATTTAAAACACTGAAGTGGAATAATAAATTTGCCACCAGGTTAAAACTACTAGCAATAGAAGGAAAACCACAAAAGTGGCAGGAAATCTAAAATTACTGAAGGGTGCACTGACGTTAAATGATATTGACGTTTACTTTGTTTAAAGAAGAAGCCAAGATTTAAAAAAGAGAAATAGGAAATAGAGGCGTCAGATCAAATTCATTTTACAACAAAATGATCATAAGTTTGAAATGTTAAATTTGTGTGGATAAGTTTATTTTTTGAACTAATAATTCATAATTAGGATAATTTTTGTCTAAATTATCTTTTAGAATGAATTTATTTAGGTGGTTTTTATAAATAATAGATGTAATTTTCTCCTTATTGGGAGTTTATTTTATTTACCAATCGATTATACTTATCCCTACTATAATTTTCTATTTAAGGCTTGGAATTTTGCAAAGTAAGCCATAAGAACTCTCCCAATTATTTCCATTTTTCTTCTCCTCCATGTATAATTTCCGCATCCTGTAAATCACCAATGTTTCCTATAGCAGAAAGTGAGAAGGATCAAATCTCGTGCCAACCTTAAAATCTATTATTATTGTTAAACTCCTATACCTTATGTTGCTATTTTCATCTTTGTTGCCTTGGTGCTCTGATTGTGCCACTGCTATATTGCTCATTGCTTTCCCAGTTGGTGTTGAATTCAAGCTTCTGGTAATCAGCAAATGGATTGCAACTACTATCAATCTATTAACCGAGAGAATAGCACCAAAACAAAGAAAATAGGTGTTCTCCAACCAAGGAAGAGAAGTATATATACAGCTACAGAAAAACTAAACAAAAAACATTAATTAAAAATCAATAGGTTTTTGTGATCCATGCCTATTATGATTTCACCACCAATAAAAGTTGAACAAATGCAAGATGGGAGGTACTTGACTAAGGACATAAATATCTAATCTAGGCGTGTATTAGGGAAGTTTTGGCATTGAATCTCATATTGCGAGAAATTCATGAATTTCTGGGGGCAAACGCACGAGCAAAAATGGTTGAAAAGTCTACTGTTTGAAAGAGAGTAAAACGACCTTTATAAATAAAATTTCAAATTCGTATTTTCAATGTTGTATGTACCTGATTGACGTGGGACTCCTTAAAGTATGTTGCAGGTATGATAGACAACTTCTGGGAGAATATCTCTTAGCACCGACATGAGTTCTACATTTTTCTCGCATTGTAGAACTCTTTTCCTATATAATTTCCTTCTTATGTACTTAGTTATTGGTGTTGTAAGAATTTTTAACTTTTATAAAATTTAAAATAATTGGGGATTTAAACTGCAGTGTAAAAATTCAATTACTCATTGATTTTTCATAGTTTGAATTTCCTATTGATTTCTTTGTATTAATTAATCATTATGAAATATTTTGGGCTAGGCTTTATGTATTTTCAATTTTATAGAAAGAAAACATTGAATGGATGGTCATCTTTAATCTATGAATCTTGATTTCCTTGATATGATTAGCATTCATTGCATCATCCTGTTGCATTAACAACTTTAGACCCTTCAACATCGTGCATCATGGAGGAATACACAAAGATGCTTTTATGATGAATCACAAAAAGTCCGAGTGTCTGCTTCAGAAAATTGTCAAACAAAGTTGATTTGCAGAATCCGTGGGCAAATATTACCACAGAAATTACACAAATTCAGCGTTGCCCCAAGCAGAAAAATGAAGAAATACTCAGAAATATAGTTATTACATTGGGACCATATAGAAGCAGAAAGTCAATCTAGATCATAAAAGCAAAACAATATAGCTCAATTTCCATTCTAATGAGGGTTGGGTGTAAGGAAAGATTAAAAAAAAACTTGTTCTTTCTACACGTTTCTTTGACATGAGCTCAATATAGGATTAAGACCAAAAACTTAACACAAAACTATGAAAACTGAATTACACAATAAGAAATGGTGCACAAAGTTGGTTAACGCCATTTTGCGAAACTTAATCATCATCCAATTTATGACTAGGTATATCGATTCAAATAATAGATTTCAGATTTCTATATTCCAAAGACCAAGCTACACAAATAAATAATTAAAACTGTAAGCAAGGATGGCCGTAAATTCTCTAAATCAGAATGCAGCAAAAATGAGAAAGAATTTAGTAGGACAATAATACATACCAAGACGGGCAAAAAAATCCTCCAATACTCCAAAAAGATCACCAAGGGTGAGACCTCGATCGCAAATGAGACCTTAGCACCACAACTTTAAATTTTAATTAAAAGAAAATCACCACAACAATGAAAAGACAAAAAAAAAGTGTTATAATACCTTCTATCTGATGAAATTCTGCAAGATGTGTTCGATCTACAGCTTCATTGCGGAAAACACGATCAATAGAGTAATACTTCTTGGGACTAAAAGATTTCTGGGCACATGATAAACATTAATTCTATACTTTCCCCCCATTAATACAAAAGGAATATAATAATTTCATTACAACTTTTAATTTAAATATCTCTAAAATACCTTTTTACTTTCACATATTGATTTTTCAATCAACAATATTATTTGAGATTATAATCCATATTATCACAATCATGTTCAGTGCTGAAATTTTGCCAATGCTCTGTCCAGATTTTATCAAAGCCATACATATACGACAACAAAAGCTTTGTGACTAGTTATATTCTCATCTTTTTTTTTTTTTAAGTTTCTTGTTAAAACAAAAAGGTTTAGATATGTGTGGAAAAGCTAGTAAGAAAATATTTTATTAGACTGACAATTGAACAAGAAAGCAAATGTACACCTGATGAGCCAAACTATATAGCATCCTTGCAGATACTGCAGTTGTGTGAGTTCGAAGCAGGTTCTTCTCTGCTTCCTCCCGTTTCCATTTGTACCTATACCTGCAGAAGACAGGATGAATCACAATGACCATGGAAGAAACAATAGGGTTATAGTCAACATACCCTAGGGATCCATAATCGCCAGATTCATGAACACGGTTCACCTTGGCAACATAATCTTCAGGTAATTCTCTTGTAGACGAAGGAACTGCAATCCAACCATGCAATGCATTATTACTTCAATTAGTGCAAAAACGAAAATTCTAAGATGAAAATCCAAGACCTTTGAGAAAGAAAGTATCATGTGAATCACGAGCTGGGTGCTGTTGAGGTTGGAAGAGAGCATCAAAATTCCAGAAGCTAAAAGAGGAAATTAAGAAAAAAAATTACTAATCAATTAGTAATAAAGTATACATTCAACAGATCTTTAGAAGAATGATCAAAAGTTCTAATAAAAGACCCTCGAGACTGATGTAGCACCGAAGGAAAAAATAAGCGCTTTCACAAAGGGGGGAAATAGATAGGTCTGGGCTCAAAAAGGAATATCAATACAATTAAAGAATTGGATATACCACTGCAAAATGGAAAATACTTGTTAGCAAAATATCATGAAACAAACTTGATGCCACAGTTCTACAGCGAGACAGTTAAATATAATTATTAAATTTGTTATTAAAATTCTACTAATAAAAGTGGAAAAAATAAAATGCAGTCCAAGAAGACCAGACTCATGCATTTTCCCCCCTTAAATGATCAATTAATTCAAGAAAAACTTATTACTGCATAGTTTTACCTCGCTTTTGTGAACCAAATTATTAATTATTACATTCAAAAAAGACGGGCAAAATCTCAGTGAAGTATATTACCTGCTTTCCACATAATTATTAGTTGGCATTTCTTCAAAGCTGTGGCAAGTAAGTGTCATCAGACAAATAAGCAAAATTTATCAACTCTATATTTAGAACATGAAAATGATAGTCTCAATTACCCCATCTGAAGAAAGATGCTTTGGATGGCATCACGCACCTATCAGAATTTAATTTGAAATTAAAAAAAAAAATTGAAAGTGTAAGAAATTAAACAAAAAAGAAAATTTATGAATTATGTGCTGGTTCAGAATCAAATATTGTTCCCACATTATTTGTTGCAAACAGAATTGTAACAGAGAATGTTTGCATCTTGTGGGAGTATAGAATTAAAGGGATAAAAACAAATCTCCTTCATAACTACTGCATCGTAAAATACTATAACTATTTAGTCACATTCTACGCAAAAAAATAATAATTATACAGTGAATTTATAATACTATCTAACAATGCTGAGTCAACCATGTTCTTCATCACTACAACATAAAATCCTACGAAAATTATTTACGCAGCTTGTTCACAAGTACGGCCTAAGCAACAAATAATAATTATACAGCCGAATTGATAAGAATGCTAACGTCAATCATTTGCTGCAAATATAACTCTTCATCAAAATATTTGCAGGAACATTCTATTTAATAAAATCATCATCATAATCACTAGAAACATTTATACCATTACGGTGTCTTGATGATTTACTCATCATCCATTCAACTCCCTTAAGTATTGCATGAGATGTTTATAATATTTTGCACATGTCTTCTGCACTAATTCTATATTCTGAAAATGTTCTCTGTTCTACCTTTTTTTTTTAATCCTTCCACATTATTTTTCCTCTATTATTTTATTATGATCTTCTACCATCCACTATACTATAAGCAAAGAACATGTACAGCACTTTTTCAACATATTATTTTTAATGAGTGGTACTGTCAAGATCTATATAATATAATTATTCCTCAATCTAAACTTCTAATTTATGAGCAATCATCTTAACATTTTATTTCAACCACAATCAATTTGTCTATTAATAACTTTTTTATCGCTCAATTCTTAAATCCATATAACATCGCCATCCTAACAGAGATTTTATAAAGTTACCTTTAGTCCTCATGATAGTCTCCTATCACACAATACTTTGAGTTAGTTTTTATTTCATAACTAATTGTCCTAAACTCTATAACATCTATATCATGATTCTTTTGCATAACAAATGCAAGATACCTTAAAACCATCCTGATTTGGTAACAATTGATCTTCCAATCATGTTGCTAATTCTTTATTTCATCTTCACTAAATTGCATATTCAATCTAGTCATGTTAACCTTGTAGAGGAAAAGTAAGGTGGTCAGTTGGTCACCCACTAGATCAATTACAAAGGCCTAATTTCAGGATCATAAATTGCAAATTTTTCGTTGAAAATTTAGCAAGAGATTGAATGACTTAATTTATGTTTCAAGAATTATTCTTGAGCAAATGACCACATAGATGAACTTAAGCTTACAGTTTTATTCATGCTGATATGGAAGTTCTAAGGTGATACCAAGCCTTAAGCTCATAATCCAAAGCTACTATAATGTGTGTAATCTATTTCCAGGATAGAAATAATGTTTCCTTCCTCTAGATCCATTATATAAATTTAAAATTGATTATAGAATTATTTTCCATAAAACTTTCTTTAATAAATATATGCTATGATTTTTCTAGTTTGTTTATAATTCTTCATATTATTGTGAATCATACATGTAATTCTATGCTATCTCAAAATTTCACAAATATCATGATCTCTTTCTTGTTAATGTATATGATTACAATGTCATGTCACTATAATATTTATGAAATTAAATTCACTTTACAATGCATGATTTTGATCACCAACTGCTATGTTATTGCTATGATTTTGAAATGCAAATCACAGATCAAATGCTTCCAGTGATAAAGCTATTGTATATATATATATATATATATATATATATATATATATATTTGTTAAAACTAATATAAATCATGCCTTCGTGCACATTCGAGCCACAATAACTTTCTCTTAACTATCTCTACCTCCAGTCCACAGCCTTCGCCATAGCCAACATCATCGCAACTGTCACCGAAAACCACTTGAAAGCCACACACCACCACCCTAAAAATTTTGCATTATTAATCTCATCTTTATGTTGATGAAAAACATTTATAAAAGATGAACATGATTGAAATAAATTAAGAAGCTGATTGAGAGTAATTCGACTCCACTGGTTGAGGTAGGGGATAGATTAATTTGTTATGGCGACAGCTCAAACAAAAACCACCTCAGTGATGACAGTACATATGATTTTTGAGTTGTTTCCAATTATTTCAGCTTTCATTAGGAATTAAATGCAAATACATAGGGAATTGAGAAAAAAGAAATTTGGAGTTAAACTTGATGTTATATGATACTTTTATGCAATTTCTATATATAATATTATTTTGCTCTTATATTTGAATTTCAATTCCATTTCACGTAATTTATCACTTTTAATTTTACATCTTGTGCAATTTTTGTTTCATATGTATGCCAATTTATTAATTTACAATTCAATAAGAAGTTAATATACCATCATTTAAAAAATTATTTAGGTATTATACAAAAATTCACTTTTGACCACTTTTTACTTTATGCATTTTTTTGATTTTGAGGCTTACGCCTCAAAACGCCTTGAGGCTTACGCCTCGCCTCACAAACAAAAAAGCCTGAATACCAAATTGCGTAATTTAAAACTTGCTATGTCAATGGGGAATGTCTCAATTAGTGGTGGATTAGGTTTTAGACAAGCTGTATTTTTTAATAAATAGAATGTATCATTATTTATCATGTAATGCAAAAACTATTTCAATCTATGATTATTTCATAGTGCATGATTAGACATCAAAATGTTATGCCACATACTAAGATTTTTCAGTTGTAACACATTTTTCACTCGGCACTATTGCTTGATTTCCCATCAACTTCATTAAGCAAATGAATTAAAAGTCATTAAATGATTACATGATTAGAAAGTATGGTTACAAATCTTAGTTTCTTTTCTTAAATGCTCAAAGAATAACATGCATGTTGCTTCTCTTTCCATTTTATTTACTGTTACCTGGAACTGAGATTTACCCACAAAGCTATTTATATAACTTAATCGGTTAATCCAACATGAAAATACCGTTTTACGAAGCATATGTTCTATGGTGTTACTGGAAGTTATGGAGCTAAATGAGAGGTGAGTAAGTATTATTTATGATTAATGGCATTTAGCTTCTGAAATAATTGCAAGAAATTTGAGATTGGACTTACTATTGTATATTATAAGGTATTTAATTAATGAATGGATGGTATAGTTATATTTTGGATTTAAATGCTTAAATTTCTATTTTGATTAATATGAATTACACGTGCTTTATATAATGTAATGTCAAGATTGTCCACGTCACCACCATTCTATTATTATGTGGTTGAAATTTTTGATAATGTTCTATTAGGGAGATATTTGGGTAATCATGTCATCCCGACCGCTCATTTTCACCCCATTTTATCCAAGTTCTCAGCCTGTCCATGAAAAAAATGATATCAAAGCAATACAATCAGATTTCTAAGTTGCTTTTGAGGTTATTACATAGTTTTGAAGATGATGTAATGTATATGATCAGAGTTAATGTATGTCGGATAACTCCAAGCCTTTTAAAAGGCCTATTCATAGTAACAGATGGAAAATAATTTTGACGTATTAACTAACACATTAATGGTTATCATGAATAATGCATCCTTTAACAAAGCATAATGCTCCTGGACCCCTGGTCATACCTTAAGCAAAGGGTGGAGATAACCAATTTGAATAGGTTGTACTTGAGCACTAAGGTTATACTCTTTGAATTCTAAATCCCTCCAGTCCCCCCTTCATAGAGAAAATAAATGAAATTATAAAAGGTTAGCACTGTGATCAAATTCTTATCAAAAGCAAAGCACAGTGTAATAATAGAGGTCAGCCATATTCCAAAAGCACGAGCAGCAGTCAATATGAAATACAGAATGTGTAGTAATAGAATCAGCGTCTTGAGGAGTTTGATCATAAAGACAACTAGTTGTACCTCAACAAATGCTCCCGCGTTAAGTCTGTTGCTGCCTTTTTCCTCTTTGAAACGTACTTTGGACCTTTCCTTAAAGAGTAACCCTTCAATGGCCTGTATAAAAGGAAATAAAAGAAGTTAAATAGATGCATAAACATCTTTATAAAGCATCAGTGCAAGCCCCATCATAGACCCATCAGTATAAAACAATAAATATAGCAAAATGAAGCCAAGTAAAAATGATGATCCGATATGCCTACCTAAATTCGATAAGCTTCCTATTTTTAAGTTCTCCAAGATCTTTCTCATCAACAACCTGCAATAGAACAATCATATAAAAGAAAATTATCGATAGCATAAAAACCAAATGCAATAGTTTAATTTAAGGGCCACATGATTTTGTTAGGCCGGCACCTGAGCCGGCTGGACCGGTCCAACCTGAACCGGTCCTGGTCTACACCCGGCGGAAGCCAAGCGAGCATAGGGAGGGGGCGGAAGTGCTGGGGGGGCCCACTTGGAGTTAATTCAAATTTTGGGAGGGAGAATTTGAATTAGAAGAGGTAATTAGGTCTTTTGTAATCCTCCTTTCATGTTTAATTAGGGAGATGAGGGGGGAATTAGGGTTATCTTGAATTTGAATATTTTTGAGATCTAGGGTTTGTGTTCTTGGGCTCTAGGCTACGGCTAGAGATTTGGAGAGTCATTCCTTCCTCTTGGATTGAAGGAAATTGTATCTTTGTTTGCGTTCTTGAATCTATTAGTGAAAGACATTGTTCTTCTCTATTTTCCTTGAGTTTTCTCCATTAAAATTGCTGCGATTTGCTGTTTTCCTGCTGTAAACAGCAGTTTTCTCTTGATTTTGTACTGATTTTGGTTAGGTTTGCTTGCGAACTCAAGTATTACCTTAGGGTTACTTGCAAACTCAAGTATTTCCTATCAAATTGGTATCAGAGCCTCGTTTTGGGACCATTGGCGGCTGAAATCCTGAAATTTCAGCGGGATTTTTGGCATTCGGAGGAAGATTTTTTGTGACTCGTAGAAAGAAAAATGGCCGGAAAGAAGATCGAAGTCCTAGAAGGCGAATTTGGCCAATTAAAATCAGATTTGGAGGAAAAATTCCTTGAAATCACCGCCAATAATGAAAGGTTGGATGGGAAGTTCACGGCCATGGAAGAAATGATGAAGAAATTACTTGAGATGAAGACTAATCCGACGGCGTCGGAAGCAAGAGAGACTACCGGAGACCACTCCGTATGAGGAAATCCGAACCCGCTTAGGGGGAGATAATATTATTTTTATTTAATGTAACCAATAAAAACGGGTGACTGACAGCTGCTTTGTTTTTTTGGGAAAAGCAGAAAGCTGAATCTTGCTTTAAGTTTTTTAAAATCTCATTAATTAAAAACTGCTGTCAGCTTTCCTCTTCTCCCCATAAGAGAAAAAATATATTTTATTTTCATCTTCTTCGATGGCAAGCTGCCAAGCTCCACGCGAATGAGGCCGGTGGAGGAGGGGAAGACTTGCTCGAAGGCTGCCCGGACCGCCGAGGCTCGCGAGCCGGCTCGAACTCGTTAACAGTGGAACGAGCTCGAGTTCGAGCTCGACTTTTGAGCTCGACTCGAGCTCGAGTTCGAGCTCGCTTTCCGACTAACGAGCTGAGCTCGATAGTGTCAAAACTCGACTCGACTCGTTTACACCCCTAATGGAGAGTACCGGTGTAACGGAGGGGATCCGAAAGTGAGGAAGTTAAAGATGCCCATCTTTGAGGGCGAAGATGTCCATGGTTGGATCTATAAGGTGGAGCGTTACTTCGCTGTCAACGGGTTAACAGATGATGAGCAGCTGACGGCGGCAGGATTGTGTCTGGAAGGGAAGGCGTTGGCATGGTATCAGTGGCAAGACAGGAGGGAACCTATTAGGAACTGGAGAGAGTTCAAGGATTGTTTATTAGAGCGTTTCCGAGCCGATGGGGGAGGAGACTTCTATGAGCAGTTCTTTGCTCTGACTCAGGAGGGGACCGTGGCTGACTATCGAGACAGATTCTAGTACTTGGCTAGTCGTTTGGATCACATCTCAGAATCGGCCCTAGAGGGGAATTTCATGAAGGGGCTCAAACCGGAAATTCGAACCGCTGTCAGAGTGCTGGAGCCAAGGAACCTAGGGAAGGCTATGGAGCTGGCACAACTGGTGGAAGATCAGAAGAGATCTGAAAGGGGAGCTCGAGGAAACTATTCAGGAGGGTCACATAGGATGACTACTACCTTCTTTCCTTCGAAGGTGGCAGCACCAGTGAGTCAGAAAGAATGGCCAAATGAGAGAACTGGAGGAGGGGGAAATGGGGGACAGTTCAAACGGCTGACCGAGAAGTAGAAGAGGTCAAAGGGGTTATGTTTTCGTTGCAATGAGAAGTACATGCCCGGACACCGGTGCAAGGATCGAATTCTTCAGGTTCTCCTCGTGTGCGAAGACGAGGAAGACGAGGAGGGAGGTGGGAGCAGATCTGGAGAGGAGGAGAAGTTGCACTTGGATGTGGCAGAAGTTTCTCTAAACTCAGTAGTGGGATTCACTCCGAGTCACACTATGAAAGTGAAAGGAGAGATAGCTGACCATGAGGTGGTTGTACTAATTGATAGTGGGGCTACCCACAATTTCATTTCCACTCAGGTCGTCAACCGATTGGGAGTGAAATTGGTGGACACCGGTTGTTATGGGGTGATGATGGGTGATCGAACTCTTCAGGTTCTCCTCGTGTGCGAAGACGAGGAAGACGAGGAGGGAGGTCAGAGCGAGTCAGAAGGGGAGGAGAAGCTGCATCTGGTTGTGCAGAAGCCTCTTTGAACTCAATAGTGAGATTCACCCCGAGTCACACTATGAAAATAAGAGGAGAAATAGCTAACCGTGAAGTGTTGGTGCTGATCGATGGTGGGGCAACCCATAATTTCATTTCCACCCAGATCATTGACCAGTTGGGGATGGAACTAGTTGATATCGGAGGCTATGGGGTGATGATGGGCACGGGGAAGGTGGAGATGGGAAGAGGAGTTTGCAGGGGTGTGGTCTTGACCATCCAAGGGCTACAAGTGAGGGAGGATTTTCTCCCTTTGGAACTGGGAAATACCGATGTCATCCTGGGGATGAAATGACTACAGACTTTGGGGGAGACCAAGGTCAACTGGGGTGCTATGAGGATGGAACTGAAGGTAGAAGGACAGAGGAGAGTGATCCAGGGGGATGCAGGGCTGTCAAGGGCAGTCGTATCTCTAAAATCCATGATCATAACCATACAGGAGGTGGGAGGGGGATTTCTGGTGGAGCTGCAACGTTTGGAGAGGGTCAGTGTGGGGGAAGAAGGAGACATCCCTCCGATGGTGCATCCGCTCATACAGCAATACATGGAGGTTTTCCAGCCACCCCAGGGATTGCCACCGCCTAGAGAGCATGAGCATGCCATTCTTCTGAAAGAGGGGGTGTCACCGATCAGTGTTCGACCATATCGTTACCCCCAGATTCAAAAGAATGAAATCGAGAAGCTGATCAAGGAGATGCTGGAAGCAGGGATCGTCAGACCCAGTGTGAGCCCTTTCTCCAGTCTAGTCTTACTGGTCAAAAAGAAGGATGGGAGCTGGAGGTTTTGTGTGGACTACAGAGCCCTGAACAAGGAGACAGTACCGGACAAATTCCCCATTCTTGTGATCGATGAGTTACTAGATGCGCTGCATGGAGCAGTTGTGTTTTCAAAGATGGACCTGAAGTCGGGCTACCACCAAATCAGAATGAAGGAAGTTGACATTCAGAAGACGACATTCAGGACTCACGAGGGGCACTATGAGTTCCTAGTGATGCCATTTGGGCTTAACAACGCCCCGCTACCTTCCAGTCCTTAATGAACAGAGTATTCAAGTAGCACTTGAGGAAGTTTATGCTAGTTTTCTTTGACGATATCCTGGTGTACAGCCAAAACGAGGAGGAACATTTGAAGCATCTAGAGGAGGTTTTGAGGATCCTACAGACACATCAGCTGAAAGCTAACCTAAATAAATGCAGTTTTGCCCAGTCTAGAGTGGAATATTTGGGACATGTGGTATCTCAAGAGGGAGTGGCAGCTGACCAGTCAAAGATTGAAGCGATGCAGAGATGGCCCATGCCCAAAAACATCAAGGAGTTGAGGGGGTTCTTGGGACTGACAGGATACTATCGGAGGTTTGTGAAGGGGTACAGTTCCATCGCTTGGTCGTTGACGGAGCAGCTGAAGAAAGACAATTTCTCATGGGGTGATGCAGCGACCCAGGCATTCGAAAGGTTGAAGAAAGCCATGACCACTGTTCCAGTTCTAGCTCTTCCAGATTTCAGCCAGGCCTTTGTGGTAGAGACCGATGCGTCGGGATATGGACTGGGAGCAGTGTTGATGAAGAGTCACAGGCCCGTAGCCTACTTCAGTCATGTGCTATCGACAAGGGCAAGATTGAAGTCAGTATACGAGAAAGAGCTGATGGCGATTGTCTTAGCCATTCAGAAATGGCATCCCCTGTTGGGGCGACATTTCATTGTCCGGACTGATCAGAAGAGTTTGAAGTATCTCTAGGAGAAAAGGATGGTGACTGAGGAGCATCAACGGTGGCGATCCAAACTATTGGGCTATGACTTCGAGATCCAGTACAAGCCGGGGTTGGAAAATAAAGCAGCTGACGCCCTATCCAGATGTGTGTGGGAGCTCCAGGAGCTAGCCCTGTCAGTACCATTAATGCCTTAATGGTCGATTGGGGGGCCATCAAGGAAGAAAGCATGCGAGATGCGGAATTGGGAAAAATCAGGGAGGATCTGAGGAAAGACGAGAACAGTCAGCCTGGTTACAGCATTGAGGGGGAGAGATTATTATACCAAGGAAGGTTCGTGATGCCACGAACCTCTATACATATTCCACACTTGCTGCAGGAGTTTCATGGCAGTGCAGTTGGGGGCCATTCCGGAGTACAGAAGACATACAGAGGTTAGCAGCTGAGCTCTACTGGAAAGGGATGCATAAGGATGTCAAGGAGTTGGTGGCAAGGTGTGAGGTGTGTCAGAGAAATAAATACATGGCAATGGCACCAGGAGGGTTACTCCAACCATTGGCACTTCCAAACAAAGTCTGGGAGGAAGTGTCTATGGATTTCATCGACGGCCTACCCCGTTCAGAGGGTTACACAGTCATTTTGGTAGTGGTGGACCGCCTCAGTAAGTATGCACATTTCATCCTTCAAGAAACATCTTGGAAGGGCACAACAAATCATGAAGGAGCGAGCCGACGCACACAGGAGAGATATACAGTATGAAGTAGGGGAGAAGGTCTACTTGAAGATAAGGCCCTACAGGCAGAAATCAATGGCACATAGGAAGAATGAGAAATTAGCCCCGAGGTACTTTGGCCCATATGAGATCTTGGGAAAGATTGGAGCAGTGGCGTATCGTCTGAAATTACCCCCCTCCGCTACCATTCACCCAGTGTTCCACATGTCCCAGCTGAGGAGAGTACTAGGGAAGCATGCAACTAGTGTGGAATTATCAGCATCTTTGACAGAAAATTGGGAGGTGGTCATGGAACCCGTGGAGCTGGAAGGAGTGAGGGTAGACAAGAAAGGAAATAAAGAGGTGTTGATCAAATGGAAGGATCTTCCAGACTACGAGGCCACTTGGGAGCCCTATGAGATTGTGAGGCAACAGTTCCCTGACTTTCACCTTAAGGACAAGGTTAGTTTTTGGGAGGGGAGTAATGTTAGGCCGGCACCTGAGTCGGCTGGACCGGTCCAACCTGGACCGGTCCTGGTCTACACCCGGCGGAAGCCAAGCGAGTAGAGGGAGGGGCGGAAGTGCTGGGGGGCCCACTTGGAGTTAATTCAAATTTTGGGAGGGAGAATTTGAATTAAAAGGGGTAATTAGGTCTTTTGTAATCCTCCTTTCAAGTTTAATTAGGGAGATGAGGGGGAAATTAGGGTTATCTTGAATTTGAATATTTTTGAGATCTAGGGTTTGTGTTCTTGGGCTCTAGGCTACGGCTAGAGATTTGGAGAGTCATTCCTTCCTCTCGGATTGAAGGAAATTGTATCTTTGTTTGCGTTCTTGAATCTACTAGTGAAAGACATTGTTCTTCTCTATTTTCCTTGAGTTTTCTCCATTAAAACTGCTGCGATTTGCTGTTTTCCAGCTGTAAACAGCAGTTTTCTCTTGATTTTAAACTGATTTTGGTTAGGTTTGCTTGCGAACTCAAGTATTACCTTAGGGTTACTTGCAAACTCAAGTATTTCGTAACAGATTTATTTTAAAGAGCACATAACCCCCACGATTTTAAAATATACAAAGAGACCCCATACATTTAATGCCAAAGTGTATATATTGGCTATTCCATCCAAGTTGACAGTGGAGTTTACCGCTGACTCTTACCTCTTTCGCTCCAAAAACTAAATTTATTCTTCCCACAAAACCCATGCCAACCAATCTTCTCTGAACACTGTTGGCTAAGACTTAGCCCTCATCTATGGCACACCAACATAGCAACCCCACACTTGTCAAACAGACCATAAAACCCCCTCTCCCTAATCCTTGAGCTTGCTGAAATAAAAGTATAGATTCAATTTCCACTCATCTTCATCACCATTGTTAAAATGACTGAATAGAACGTATAGATATGATTTTACACTTCCTTTGCGCCCTTCTCAATATCCCTGAGCTCATTGATCTCTACATAGGCATCACATATTCAGCTCTAGTGTGGATGTCCGGCAGTGAATCGGGGATGAGGGGTTAGGATTTCACAAGAGTGAGTCGCCTACATCAGGATAAAAACATCTTTTACACTTCTACTATCATCTTGGATGGAAAAATTAACAATGACAGCTTAGTAGAAGCACATCGGGCTTAATCGCATATTGTTAAACCATATTTATGTGCCTACTTTTATGATATTGTGCTTATGATCACCAATATTTAGAGATCAATCATGTTCTATTCATTTGGTCAACACTTCAATAGTCTATGCCCAAAGCAAGTCGAATTTCATAAAGGCAAATAAAAAACAAATGTTTTGTGCATGGGTGTGCATAATTACCCCACAATCCCAACCATCGGGCATTTACCTAATCAACATTGGAATTTATCAATATTGATAACTGAATGCTCGATCTAACTTCAGGCCTTTAGGGAATATAAAAAAAAGGATCCAAAGTGCTGCTATGAATTCAAAATTGATGAAGAAAGAATTATATAGGCTAAACTATATGACCCCAAATATAATTACTCAAATATATAAATTAAATTACAGAGTAAAGCATACTAAATTAAAGATAATAGGCCAAGGTTCGAAGATACCAAACTATGCACTAAGATCAAATGAAATTAACTTCGCAAAACCATAGCCTATCGGTTTAAACATGTAACAATGTGACTACAGTATATTCATGAAATAAAGATAGAAGCCATAAACAATACTACATACCTCTCCTTTTTCAATCTGCTGTAGAAAACCTTGGATTTTGTCTTCAACATAATCAACCTACAAAATGCATTTATAATTAGAGTACGCAGAAAAAAAAAACACTTTTTTTATTCCACTCTAACATAATATCATGAAGAATAAGTTAAAATTAACCTATAGAACATCATTTTCAACAAAGACGTAATGAAATAGAGGTTGAATGCAATCACTAGTCATTATCATTAGCTCCATCACAACTATGGAACTTTGAAAATCATAACGCATTAGCGAGAAAAGCACATTTAGTTCCAATTGAGTTTCAACATTTGAAGTAAATTCCAGCTCATAGATCAAAGCAACACCATAACTCAATCCCAAAACTCACTTTTGAGCACTAAGAACTACTTTTAGGCCAAAAAGGGACCTCATCATCACCATCATCATCCTTGCACAAAATATTTGGAGTTGGCTTCAAGAATTCATATTTTTCAACAGAATAGCATAAAGAATTAGTTAAAATTAACCTATAGAACATCATTTTCAACAAAGAGGTAATTAAATAGAGGTAGAATGCAAGCAAAATCATTAGTCATTATCATTAGCTCCATCACAAATATGGAACTTTGAAAACCATAACGTAATAGTGAGAAAAACACATTTATTCCACATTTATTTCCGATTGAGTTTCAACATTTGAAGTAAATTCTAAGCTCATACATCAAAGCAACTGCATAACTCACTCTCAAAACTCGCTTTTGAGCACTTAGAAGTTAGAACTGCTTTTAGGCCAAAAAGGCACCTCATCATCACCATCATCATCCTTACCCAAAATATTTTGAGCGGCTTTAAGAATTCACATTTTTCATCCATTTTCGTTATTTTGTTGCCAAAAGTGTTAAACCAATTATTTACAACATTTGAACAACAACAATCCATTTTAACTTAACATTTTTTTCTTTCCTAATCATTTAATATTAATTCTATATACACGTCTAACTAATACACTTTTTACCATTTGATGAAACGAGATCAACCCATCTAAAAATCTATTTCCAACCAATCACTCCTCTAATATAGTCATCCCTTAATTTATCATTCCTAATTTTTTTCATATATATGTCTTAATATTCTCATTTAACCACTAATTTTATGTAACTATCAAAGGCTTCTTTACAAATAAATAATTGATATCGTATAACATAACAAACCAAAAATGATTTAAAAATAGCTAAAGCTCCAAGGATCTTATTATTACAATTGTTGTCTGTCAATAAGATTGTAAGAAAAAAAAAAGCAATTGTTATTTGAAACTCCTTGTCAATCAGCTTTTTTGCATAACTGTAAATTTCTTCTTGTGTTTTTAATGGCATTTAAAATTTTATTAACTATCCTTAATTACATCTCTACAATGAATCACAAATAACATGTACTCAAGTATTTGTTCGCATATCCAAAACTAAAGTAGACAGTGGGATTCCACAAGCTTCAAAAAGAGATATCTTTACTAAAGAATGAAAAGATTACTGTAACACCATTCTAGTTAGGACTAGCACCAAGCGCATCCTTTTTTGGCTTGGCACAAAATTGAGTTGCCAAAAATAATCCCATGAAAACTTTCAATACTTCCATTTTTACTCCCATTTGTAATTTATTTGTACTAGGAGCTCATCATTAATTGGGCACCTACTAGTTTAAAACTATTATTGTCAACGAAGTATACTTGTAAGGCGTCAACCTTTAAAAACAAAGTTGGTTATAAAGCAATATACAATAGAAATAATATGAATCTCTTTTGCCTTCAACAAGAACCTAAAGAGAGAACTGAGAAGAGAAAGCTAAAATTTTAAGAGATTAGTTTTCAATTTAAATTAATAATCTAATGAAAACAAACCTAAGGAACCCTTAATAAAGATTGAGGCACATAACAAAAAGACTAAACTATCTAAAATAATTATAATAATATTATTACTATTATTATTAATGGCCACAGTCTCCTAAAACATGAAATAGGACATGATAGCATAAAGTTCTTTAACATTCTAATGAAAACAAACATAAAGAACCCTTTATAAAGATGAGAGCTCGTAAACAAAGGACTAAACTACCCAACAACAACAACAACAACAATAATAATATCCTAAAATCAGAAATATGACATGATAATAATATAAAGTAAACATGAAACACAACTAAGAAGAAATTAAGCATATAGTATAATGCTCTTTCCGTAAACCAGATGAGAGAAAGACGATCATGTCCCCTACATCAAAACCCCTAAGCTACAAAGAACTCTTCTCCAATGAGCTGAAAGGTGAGGATCATGGAGAGGCTGGAATAGAACGTGGACATATCACAAATCCATAGAATCAAGAGCTATTGTAGAAAAGCAAATAAGAAGGTTTTAATAAAAGACTTTGTTAATCCCAGCCATTTGTGTCATCTCAATCAACTATGCACGTAATTGAAAATATGGTAACAATGACAATAGCAAAACGAACTTGATGAAGTCAACGTAATGTAGTGGTGGTGATAGTTTTCATGGTGTGATCGCAATAGATCTATCTCAACTAGATTTAATGAGATATCAAGATTTCTTGAGTTCAATAGAAACTCATATAAAGGATTGCCAATCAAAGAATTAATGGTATCAACAAAAAAAAGTAGTTAAGAACTATAAATCACTAATTTCTATAGCTCAAGTTATTGTTGATCATATTTTGAAGCTAGATCAAACAATTGGCGTTACTCACTCTTCAAGGTCAACTTCTTATTGAATTTATAGTATGATTTCTTCAAAGCTTTCAACCAGGCCAACCACATGGGAAAATGAAGCCTGAAGCCACTACCTTGGATTCCATCTCGTAGATCTTATAAATGAATGGAAAAAATTCATATTTTGGGTAAATTTCCATCAAATTTCCTCTACTTGTCAAATTCTTTAGAACTTACTCAATATAATGACATCATGAGTTTTTTGGCAATAGGAAGGGTAACTTTATTAAGGCATTAAGGAAACTCAATTGTAGGAATCATAGGTTTCATTACATGATAGGGTACGATATGATATGTGATAACTAGAATGTGATAAATAAGGTTTGATTTGAGTAGTGTTTAGGTTGTCTTCATTGAGACCTAGAGGTCATGGGTTTAATTACTCAAACAACCAATCTAAAATGCAGATGTATGGTTTTGTACACCAACCCATCCCCAAACTCTATATTGATGGGAGCCTTGTGTACTTATACCCTTTTATATTTAGAATGAATCCTATCAACATGTGCATGATCATAAGCATCTTGGTATTCATAAACCACATTTGTTTGAGATTGCTGAATGAAATGAACATAATGTTGAGGTTGGAATCCCAATCAAATTGATATTCATGTGTCCCGTTTTATTTTTCTCATCATACAGATACACAATTGATAAATAAGTCTATTAGGTTTGTCTCATGAGGAAATTAGATTGTCATGGATTCATGACAAGGATATGGGTTTTGTAGTAAGATTTTTGTGGAGATTAGCATAATATATGTTCATCATAATGCTTTGGAATTTGGACGTGAGCCAAATGTGGTTTTGTTGATGTGAACATGATCTAGGGTTATTTAATAATTTCATAATAAGTGTGAAAGTTTCGAGGTGATGTAGAGATTAGGGTCTGAACATATTGATTGTATTAGGGCTTGAGCATAGAATAAAAATTGTGACATAGATATTAGCATGGTTAATAAATCCGGACCGGATAGATGATGAGATCAAGAGGATTCAGATGATAGGGACCATACATACCACATCAGAGAAAATGGGAAATCAAATAGAAGAGAAAGAAAGATAGGGCTGTCAAATTTAAACTTCAATTCAATAAAAATAATGATCAAATGAAAACAAATCAAAGAAACCTTTTACATAGATGATGTCTCATAACACAAAAAGTTGAGTTATCAAAAACAAATACAATAATGACAATATTGTTCAGATGCATGAAATAAAGCATGGCATTAAATAAACATATAAAGTAAATATAACGTTTAAAATAAGCCAAAAGTAAATATAAAGTATAAATCTCTCTCCATACATCTGACCAATTAAAGGATATTGGTTCAAGGAAGGTTAGCCATACTCCTGCATTAATTTGCTATCACATGAGCAGCCATTGATGTTATGAATAAATGTGTCAAATGAATAATATATGCATATTAGCTCAACCTATGAACAACAACAAAGATGACCATTTTACCTTGAAAATGGGGTAACCCATCTATAAAAACTATAGTAATGCTTGTTCCTGATTGTTTGGCAATAAGCTAGCATAAGCAATCCTAGATTAGACATTGGTTTTAATTTATGCCATTGGTAAATATAGTTTCCCAATAGTAGTTTTGATAAATTCTCTTGTTTTTCAAATAGAAAAACTATACTATTCAGTTACTTTTCATAATAGTAAAAAATGCTCCAATTCATGAATCCTTTTCTTCTTCAATAACATCTTCATTGATGTTGACGTAGAGCTAATTAACATTCAACGATTTGAGTAAGTATTAAATTGTAATTATTTTAACTTGCTTTCTCTTCATCTGCTTCACGTTTTACATGAGGATCAATTATTTTTTTAAGATGATTTATTGGTATGGAAGAAAATAGAGTTCATATTGTTTTCAATTCACCATGCACTCCATAAAAAGTATCAACAGGAAACTTACTCATCAACAGTGAAAATTTTCTTTCCTCTGTTGTACATAAACTCATTTTTTGTTCTACAGGAGTATCATATGTTTCAGTTATTACGTTAGGCTTATTTGAGTAGTTCTTTCCATGAACTTGTCTCAACTATTACAATTTAGACTTAAATTTCGTCGAACTTTGCAGGCATTGCTTCCAATAAATGCCTCAACAATTATAATAGATAAACTTGATTTGTAGTAGATTCATAATACCTTTAAAGCTTCCTCAAACTTAGCAAGAAAATTTTGTCTTTAATGGTGTCTAGGCCATTTTTTATCCCAATCTTATTGTTCATTTTTCCAGTTATATTTCATATGATGAATACAAATGCAGGGAAATGAAAAACAGAGTAGGAACAGACAAATTGTGATCTACTGATAGAGATCAACCCTCTAAGTAAAATGTAGAGAAATAGAACAACTCCAGCTGCTTCATTAGTTAGTTTACAGACTGCAACTACAGCTAAAACACAACATATGATAAGATAAAGACCTTGAGATCAACCTCCAATACACAATACATGAAAAGATAGATCAAGTAAAGCAATGTATTCACCCTTTTCATATTAGATAGGATTTTCTTGAGATTAGCTTTATTTTACAAAGGTATTTTGATAGTCAACCATTTGATACCAATCAAAGAAATCATACTTAATAGTTTTAGGTTCTATAATTTTGATCTAGGCGGTCTGTTTCCTGTCATTGGAAAGGCCAAAGGATGAAGATTTTTACCTTACAGTTGCAAGGAGTTTGTAATGCTGGTTAGCTCTTTAAGACTATTTGCCTATTGTGAAACTTTATAATGATTTTTTTAACCTTCTCTTCAGTAAAAGGCTTTTCACTTATGATGAATTTGTGGAAAGAGTTGTGCAATATATTGGCCTTGAAGATCCATAAGGGAATAGCAACATCTGCTAGTAATGTAAAATTTACTTTAGCACGAGAGTATACAAACTTCTCCAGATCATCTAACCAATACAGAGGTATCAATAAATGGTATTATAAAACATAGCACAATGAAGTATTTAAAATGAACATCCAAACAATGCAAGATTAACGAACAAATTAAAGTAAAAACTACAAAAATATGGAAAACAATTTGACCTTTCTAGAAACTCCTTGCCTGCCAATCTCCACCAATTTCTTCTTTACTGCCCAGGAAGATCCAATCTTGAAAACCGTGGGATTAACCTTTTTCTGTTGCATCAACAGTTGAAAACGCAGAAAAACTACTAAAAAATCATGGTATTCTTCTAAGAGATACAAAAAGAAAAAAAAAAGGTTAAAGAAACTCAAACTTTTAAACGCCAATATTAGCATTTACACTGGAATCAACCGTTCAGTTAACAAAAATAGTCAATACCTGCAGTTCCTCTTTAGAAATCCCCTCAGGAGGCACTGCGTTGAACAGCTGAACCTCCGGTGATCCCTCCCGTGCGTACATCCTGCCCTCTTCTTTGAGAAACCACCGATCTTTCTGGAATTCCTGCTCACAGAAGCATCATTGTTTATTTAATTTCTACCATTGTGATCAAAATAAATGGGTGGCGAGGAGGTTCGGCAAATGATTTGACCTGAGCATCAACAATTTCAAAACCACGAAGACTCTTGATAACATTCTCGAGCTCGTTATGATCGATGCCGACACTGGCAGCGAATTGATGCGAGTCTGGGATCGCCTCGTTGTTCTGCAAAAACCCCAGAATAGAATCCTCCGCCATTCCGGTTAGCACCGAAGCGACGAGCAAAGCGAAGAAAGAAGAATGCAGAAGCCGAACCCCGCAACCTTTAGGGGCTGTTTGGTATCGGATTTATCGTGGGATTTAAGTCGGATTTACGCTAAATCCGGCCAAACGGTTTAAATCCCGGATTTACTAAATCCCTAGCTTCGGTGGATTTAACGGGATTTATAATTAGAAGTGCGCGAAAGGGAGAAAGTTAACTTCACATCCAGCGAGCTCCTGTTCTTGCTTCCGATCAAAATGTCGTAATTCCGATCCGACAGGAAGGTAAAGTCGTCGAAGGAGCGAAGTCGAACAATCGCGAAGGAGCCGAAGAAGCGAACGCATGCAGTCTATACACCTGCGAAGCAACGACGAAAAAAGAAGATGAAAAGACAAACCCTAGACGCCTCTAAGTTATTATTGATTAACTTAATTAATATAATTTAAAATATTAATAATTAAGTAAACAAATTAAATAATTAATAGTATGAGTAGTGCATAAATTAATTATCTAATTTAACTTAATTGTATAATTAGTAATTAAATATTAATTTGATTAGATTAATTAATATAACTTACATTTCTCAATTTTGATATCTTAATTATAAAAATTTAATTTTAAATAAATTTTAAGATATTAAATTGATATCAAACTTATATAATTTATGAATTAAATTGGGATCAAATTTTTATTCTAATTTCCATCAAATTTTATTTGAGTAGTCATTTGAAGTTAATTTTGTATAGTTAAGAGGTAAAATCGAAGAATTGTGATACTTTGGGGCTAAATTGGTCACATACGAATAATTAAAGGTGTTATGCACTAAAAGATTTGAAGTTAATATCTTGCCTTTATGTAAAATTGAAGCACACATATGTAGAAATTTCAACGGACATCAATTTTTTTTACGTGAAAAATCCAAAAAGATGAAAAATCACAAAGTTTGGCCTAATTACAATAATTAGATTACTAATGATACATGAGTTTGTCTTTCCTCATAATGGAAGAGAACTATATATATAATTGATAATAATTATTTGATTTATATTGTAAGGATTATAGAAGAAAAGATAAAATGTGGAAACGACCATACATTGTTAGTCTAACGATGATACTATAACAAAGATTGAGTGTCCGCGATCAGATGGTAGATGTCAAATGATGGGATTGGGTGCAGTAATCAGACAACAGTGGTCGAACGACTGAAATTAGACAATGGTGGTGAGGATTGTTGATAATGGTTGCTAGCATCAATCATCAGGTAGGGTAATAAAGTTCTTCAGATCTCTTAGTTCTAAAATCTCTCTTATATAAAATAAAACTTTATTTACAACTTTTTAAAGATCAGTGGGGTATTTTGGTAATAATGACCATAATTTAAAAACTACATTACATATCCCATATTTATCCACTTGAGCATATAATGTTTATTCAACATATGAGTATATGAATTATCTGCTAACTTATTGTATGTGTCTCATTAAGATACTTGTTTTGATTATAACTATGGAATATTTAGAGATTTTTTGGCCCTCTCGTCAATATTTTTAAATTTCTAATTACACTTCAATTATTTGATTTGGGGTCATTTAGAGACAAACTGAATTTCTTGTGATGTTGATGGTTTGTCCCGTCAAAACATTCATTTTGAAAATAAGTTTGCTAAAATTAAAGTCCATCTTGAATTTAATTTTAAATTTTTAATTAGAATATTGCTTCGAGATTTATGTTGATCAAGTGAATTTATAGAAACTTATTAAAGAAAATCTTGACTTTCATATGGCCCAAAATGCCTGAATTATAGAAATATGCCCATTGCAACAAGTATACCAACATATATAACACATATAATAACTTGAAAATGAAAAATATTTTAAAATATGTAAATCTGATGTTTATGTATGAAGTGGAGAGCAACGGAACTATGCACGGTAGTGTTGTAGCGCTATGCATGAGAGCACAGTGGCGCTAGAAAATGTCGTTGCGACACTTTGTGTCTATGTTCTTCAGTAAATTTGGATTCAACATGCAGCGTTGTAGCACTGGGCCAGAGCGCTGTGACGATGCTTGGCCGGGAAGAAATTGAGGGAGAAGGGGGGAGAAGAGGAGAGAGATAAGAGAGAGAATGATTTTTGGGTCATTTTAGTTCGTCATTCCTTTTAAGAAAATTGTTCCATTCATAGTAAGTAGCTATCATCTTACTTCTATTTTTTTATTATTTCAATTTCTAAGAATTTATCTCTCCTGAAATATTATTATCTTGTGATTTTATAAGCTATCACCATGTTCTTTTGATATATTATAAATTTGATTATTTTAAACAATATGATATGCTTTTATTGTATTTTCATCGATAAAATATGTGTATAAGAATTTTTTAATAAAATGTGCAAAGAAAATATATACTAAAAATGGGTTGAAAAGTAATGTACTTTAATTTGACATGATAATACTAAAATATGATATGTGATGAATTAATTGAAGTGGTTTATATATATTGTACTAAAATGATATTGATTAATATGATATTATGATGCATTGACTGATATCATAACAACGAAAAGAGTATGGATGATCTTATTGATACCTCAATAATAAAAATATAGATAACACTGATGACATTTGATACATGATAAGAATATTATCAGTATTGATATATCACAAATAGTACTGCTAGTATTGATATATAAACACTAATATGATTGACTTATTGATAAGATAAAATGAATTCTACGATTTAGATTGATTGAATAAGACTGATAGAATGATAAAGACTATTTGACTGATAAATTGATATAGGTGACCGACACATAATATTTATACATATAGTAATGTACTGATTATGCTCTCATATAGAGGATGTAGTAATTAATATCAGATACATGAAATGATAATTTCATGTAATAACCTCAAGATCCATATGTCCGCTGACAGAAGTCAGTGGATGGAAGCCATAAGGAGTTGGAGATTGATTGAAAGTTATAAGGAGTTGGGATGACTTTCACATGGTTCAATGGGAGTTATAAGAGGAGTCATAAAGGGCAACTAATTGGGAGTCATAAACGTATGAGTAAGATACCCTCAATCAAATATTTGATATAATATTTATTAACGATATTGATACTGATTACTGTCACTAGTTATTGTTACTGATAGTTATCAATATGATTATTGATATTAATACTAATACTAACATTGTATTGATATTTTACTAACACACTAAAAACGCTACTAATGATTATTATTGTTGCGTCCTGGAATATTCGCGGAGGTAGAGAAATATATAGTTTAACGTCTTAGCGTTGTACGAAGATCCAGCACACAATCAGATAAGTGAGAGGGTGTAACATTCATAAGATTTTGTGATGCCGTATCAATTATTATTGTTATAGACTCCTATTATTGATAAATATATTGATACTCATAAAGTCATATATATAGAATACGAACATCATTTAATGTTACTGATTTATGTTATTGATGTGGCTATTGTTAATGATCATTGTCAATTATTCATTGATATTGTGACTAATTATGTAATAAATTGAGATGTGATGTGTTGCAACTAAGCACATGGTACTGATAATCAGTATGGATACTAATGCATATATTTCTTTATACAAATTACAATATATTCTCTCTCTTATTATTGCATTAATTTCATAGGTAATATTTTAGTTATTTGATGGACTTTTATGCATATTATGTAATTTTACATGATTTCAAATAAAAGTAAGAAACCTGCAACTAGAGGCTATGTATGGAGTGATGCTTATATAGTTTATTTTAGTTCATGATTTATGTATTTTTTAGTCAATGTGGCTATTGTATATATTGTTTTGAGCTTTGTTGACATAATGTAATTCTTGACTATAGTAAATATGAATTATGATTTTCGATATTTATTAGTTTTTTAATGCAATTATTCCACCTTGATGTTTATTGATCCGATTGATAAATGAATATACTAAATTGAAAAGATAACAATTATAAAAAAAAGGAAAAATATTTTTTCACTTTAGATCCCTCAGCATGACAGCATATGAAAATAATAAGCAGTTAGTTAAAAATGATCCAAGCAAGAAAACTATTATAAAGGTGGTGGGTACTTAGACTCAACGGCTAGTTTGCAAGCACTGATTTCCTGCGCTTGTGCACTCTCTTCCTTGGTCGCAAGTTGTAAGTCACACAGCATCTTCGCCTAACGCTGGTATTCTAGCACGTTGATTTGCTCTCCTCACTTTGATTTCCTTATCTCTCTCATGATCTTTCTACATCGATCTGCTATCTCTCTTTCGAGTTTAAAAGGAATGGGAGCTCTTTGTCTTCATGCCACAATCCCTCGCCTCCTTGACACGAACTAACAATCACAACCCCTCCCTTCAACTTCCGATGCGAGAAAGAACAGACAATCTCATATCGGATATAGAAGTTTGACATATTACATAGTCATCGAATAATATTTAAAGTTAAATTTATAACTATTGAACAACATAATCTTTGATTTGATCATGATTCGAATATAATTCACTAATATATTTTAACAAACATCAAAATATACACATGATATGCTATCTATCATGTTTTAATTCTTTGACAAAATGAACTAAAAAGTAATACATATATGCTAAAAATCATCAATTAAAAAATTATTCAGCAAGTACTCAATTCATAAAGGAAAATAAAGAATAAGATAAAACAAAAATAAAAAATAATCTGTAGGACAATAACGATAAATAAAGTCAAAGGAAAAATATTGTAAAGTAATTAACCCTTAATGTTATTATTTGGCACGGTTTGTCTTTTTGTTTAATCATACAAATTAAAGGAGACATGTTTGACAAATACGTTAAAACCACTGATTAATTTCACATTAAACACCGAAATTAAGATTTTGTTTGGGACCACAAGCTTTTATGTTTCATAAATTAATTTTTTAGTGCAAAAATTTTTGCTTTAAAAAGCAACTTTAAAAAACAGTAAGAAAGCCGTCCCAAATTAAGCCAAAATTGCACATGTTTAGCAAATGAATAAAATGTATTGTAAGGTGTCTGAATAATTTTATTTCTAACCGACACCGTATCGATAAGAGAGTTATTGTTTGCAATTTCTATATCGCAAGAGTCAAAGGAGCCTGCAGCTCGAGGTTTTGTATGCAGTGATGATTGTATAGTTTATTTTAGTTCTTGGTTTATGTATTTTTTTGTAACTAATGTGACTATTGTATAATCTGTTTCAAGCTCTATTGACTTGATGTTATTCTGGACTATGGTAATGTGAGTTATGTTTTTTGTTGTTTATTGATTTCTTTCAGTGTAATTAATCAG